AAATAATTTTTTATTTTACAATTTATATTTTTTTCAAGTTGTTGAGAATTATTAGATGAGTAATAATCTTCAAAATTCCTATCTAATTATGAACACAAATATGAAACTCAAATTTCACATCTTTTACATGCACTTTTTACATACATGACTATGCTCTTATCAAGACATGAGTAACCACTGAACTACTAAAGATTTTTCAAAATTCATACCTAATTATTTAAGAGCATTCTCAAAATTTACATTATCAGTATTTATATTATTTTATTTTATCTATATTTAAAAATTTTAATGGAGACTCTTCTCTAATGCATACTGTGTAGTCACAAAAATCTGCAAAATCAAATAATATGTATTGATTTGCAAAATAAATACAAATTATTATAAACTTGAAGAAAAATGGGAAACAATCTCTGATTTGGAGTGCTGCAGTGCACGTGCTTGGACTTTGAACAGTAACACATCTTAGAACAACATGATCCTCTGATTAACAGCTGAATTTTAGAAGGGTAAGGGCTTAAACTTGTTCTTGTCCTTTCAAGGGATTTAAGACTTGCACTTGAAACTTTTCCTCCTTGACATGAATTTGGAGATTACCCTTGGCAGGAGGTTGGGGCTGAAGGGCAAGGGCTTAAGCTTGTTCTTGTCCTTCAAGGGATTTAAGATTTGCACTTGAAACTTTTTCTCCTTGACATGGATTTGGAGACCCTTGGCAGGAGGTTGAGGCTGAAGTTTCGAGAATTGTTGAGGAAGCTTGAAGCTTGTTGTTCCTCTCCTTTTCTTCTTTTTCCTCTCCTCTTTTTTTCCTTTTTTTCTTTTGATGGCCTATTTATAGGCAAAAGGATGTTGCCAAATGACCTCAAATATCCTTCACTTTAAGGATAATTTGGTCATTTTAATATATTTATTTATTATTTTTTTTAAAAAAAATTAAAGAGATAATATCTCTTTAAAGATTTATTACCCTAACTTCTAAGATTTTTACTAGGGTAAATATATTTTAAAATTTGACATTTTTTAATGCCTACACATACAATATAATTTTACCATTACTTTAAGTAGATTACTACTTAAGTAGTTAACATAATATTTCTTTATAATTGAATAAATGCAAAGTAAAAGAAGCTCCATGCTACAATAAAAATAAAAATGGAAAATAAACATATTTTTACAAACATATGGCACCCTTTAGTAACAACGGTAATTTCATCTATCAATCATGTATCGAAGGTTATGGCATATCGTATCATTACTTGTCAACTGGACAGGATAGTTCATTTCTTGGGTTAAGGTAGGACAACACCTGCCCCTATTAATTTCCCTCATACCCCACTCTAATGTAAATAAATACCTTTTAATGACATGACAAATTTATTTCAACTTCGAATTATACATATACCCTTATTTCATTATTATTATTTTTTTTAACCAAGCCCTTTTTTCATTAGTTAAGTCTTAATTTTTTAGGAGAAAGCTATTATATTGAATGTTTTCAAATTTACACCTTTTTAGTCATAAAATAAAATTTAAAGGGCTAGGTGTGCTTTTTAGCTTTTTTGTTAAAATTTCTTTTATCACGTCTTACAAAAATGCAGCAACTAAAAATAGAGAGAGCTAGTGGTCAATACTAATCAAATCCACGTTACAAGCATAAAAGAGCAAACTTTCTTAAGAGAAACAATACTTATAAGTTTTCAAAAAGCCCAAGAAACCAAAACATAACAAAAAATGAAACACAACATCAAAACAATACGTAAGAAATTGAAAATTTTGAGACAAAGAATTAATTGCTACAATCAATCTCTCATTTAAGTTCTACAAAAGGGTTGAGGGAACTTACACTAAATGCAACCTAGATCAAAGGGAACCTAGAGACCAGTCTTGAACAATGGTGAGAACTCAGATCAAGGTTCCTTAGCCGTCATGCGACCCCAACCATGTTTTTAAAAGGATAGGAAACCCATCCTCACCGTTGCATTCCATATGCGACGTGTGATGGCGACAATATTTTTTGGAGGAGATATTGAGGGGAGAAAAGTAGGCGGTCGAGGGAGAGCAGGAGATAAATGGGGGTCCTTTTATGGGAAATATTTATGTTTTAAATTACTAGTAAATAATTAAATTAAGATATTAATTTAAATCCACCAAATTTTAGGGCGGATGTCACCAAAATATCGGCTTATTTTTCAAAGGGCTTATTTGTATTTTTACGGGATACTTAACGGAAATGTTGACGAAAACTGACGGCGGTTAATGGATGGATTTTTATTGCTTACTTTTTCGTTTTCTTTTTCTTTTTCTTTTTTTTTTAAATATATATGTTTTTTTTTGGTCTTTTTAAATATATATGTTTTGGATATGGGATCGAAAGAAAAGTACTTAAAATTTTTGTTTCAATTAGGTACTTTAGGAAACGATAAAAATGGTCTCATTTTTTATTTTTAAAATATTTTATCTTAATTTTTTGAAATAAAAATTTATTCAAATAATATAATTTTAAAATAATTTTTTAAAATTTTTTTAAAAATTTAATTGATAAATACTTATTCATTAAGATACTTTTAGACATGAGAAAATATTTTCGATTTTTTTTTACTATCTTTTCAAGGGTTCAGAGATTTTTTGCCTATAAGAGGGCATTTGGTTTTCCTCTCACTTTTTCTTATACTTAAGATTCTTTAAAGTTGCTTACGAGATGTTATATTTTAAATATTATAATAAAAAATAATAAAAATAATATTTTTAATATTTATTTTTTATATAATACTTTAAAAAAAAAATAAAACTATTCTCTAACCACACACTAACTAAACCACTCAAATTTTAAAGAGTATAAAATGGTTACAAGGATCGCTGGAACATTGTCAAACAAGCCCATCATGAGCAAACGTTGTTTCATTTTCTCAAGGGATACGTAAGCAGACGTACAGACAAATATGAGTTGAAACTTGAGAGGATGGGCCTCTATCATATATGGTTTTTTTAAAGCACAAGTTGATCTTAGTTATTGGACAAACATCCCTTCATATAGAAATTAATGTCAAATCAGGTTCAAAAGAAAAAAGAAAGGACAAACTCTCACACAAATCGATTGAAAATTACTATAATTGTCCACCTGAATTTCTTTTTTTGGGTCAATTTAGATACTCTTCGTGATTAATTCTCATTTAATTAGTTTAGTTAAAAATTAAATCATTTACGTCAAAATTAAGATGTTTACAAATAATTATTTTTTATTAATATTCGGTAAAAAATTAAATTACTATCAACAAAGCACGTGGCCTTCTTAATCTAATGATTTTGTCATTCTTGATAGATATACCTTTCAATTCTTTAAGTTGGGATTAATTCCTCTTACCCCTAATTTATAATTTGATCAAAAAAATTTACTATCAACAAAATAAAAATTAAATTTATTTACTAATTAAATTATGACTTCTTAAATAAGCAAGATATTTTTAATAAAAAGATTCTTTTAACATGTATTTTTAAAACACATGTTAAGAATATTTTTTAATATTAATTGTCATAAAAAAATAAAATTTAACATTTATTTAATTAATTATCTAATTAAAAAAATATATGTAATATTAATGATAAAATTAATATCAATTTTTTTTATTTTTGATGTTAATTAATATCAAAACAATATATTAATTACTCCTTTAACATTTACTGTTTATCTTAAACAGTATAATTTAAATTATGGTTCCAAATTTTTTGGCACTTCAACCAAATTTAAGGAGGATGCGCGTCCCGATGTGGTATGGTCCACCACTTGAATACCCAAAAAGCTAGTATAGATAAGGATAACAAAATTCCCTAATTCAGTGGGTTTAAGTTTAATTTAAAGGAAATATATTAGAATGTCTTATGTTGTAATGCTCTTTCAGTTTAATTTTAATAGATTTAATTTTGATTTAATGAAATAAGATATGATAAAATTTTATATGCATTTATTTTTAATTAATTATTATTTTTAAAATTTTTATTCAATATTATTATATATTGTAATTATTTTTTAAAAATAATAATAAAATAAAAATAATTACATTAGATGACATATTTAAAAACAATAAACAACTAAAGTTTAATGCTTTAAATTAAATTTTAAGTTTCCTGAAGTTGAATAGAAGGAAGAATATAAACATAGAGATTGATAAAGTTGAAACTAATACTATATCCTATATATAGAGTGGACATCTCACCATTTTAATGTTAAAATATTATAATTTTTTAATATTTAATATAATTAATATTTTAAACCTTTAAAATAATAAAAAATAAATAAAGTGTACAACTAAAATATTGTACATTGTTTTCAAACCAAGCCCCTAACACGAGAATTAGTTGGGAATTGATCCCTCGGCAAGATCAAGGTAGGAATGAAGAATCTTAGAAGTTTGTTGATAATTGTAATTATTATACATATATCATGATTTTTTAAGTAAAAAATATTATTTTTAATAAATATAAATAAATTTTAGTTATTAAAAATATAAAAATAAATAATTAAAATTTTATATAAATGTAATATATAAGACTTATATATAAGTTAATTCCTATTATATATATTTATTAAAAAATTAATTGATTCATATAACAAAAATTTAAATCTTAACTATTGATTTTGAATTAAGGTTTTTTGAGTTAATACATGATTACCAACTCAATCAAATTCTAATTGATAATAATTGTAACTATTAATTGATAATTTATAAAAATAATTGATATATATTACTTGTAATAATTTAAAGTTAGCTCATAGATTAATATTTATAAAGACTCTAACTAATTATTCAAAGAAAAAGAAAACAACTAAATAAAACAAACCCAATATTCAACTGTGTCAAACTTACGCTGGGAAGGTTAATATTTCAGAGGAACAATTATTGAAAAACCACATTATAATTTGAATATTTTCAATTTTTGGTGGGGGGGGGGGGGGGTGGTCAAAACTCCCATTCTAGTCCCTGGGAGTATTTCAAAGTATAGTAAATTCCAAAGTTAAAAGAAGTTAGGAGGAAATGGCTTTTGACTTTTGAGTTCGAGAATGGGTATGTTTGGAGACTTTTCAAGTTAACCGAGTCAAGAGTTCTATGCACCTTGTAAATTGGGACCTCATGAAGTCAGTTGCGGATCTAATCTTCACTCTAATTTCCAAATTAATTATGTCATACTCCGCTGGAGAATTCAAAAAGTATGAAACAGAGATTTAGAATTTCTGCCATTCACGCGCATTCTGCACAAAGTCAATTAAAAAGAGTATTACTGGGCGATTAATTAAGACGTACCGCATTTTCCGTTGTAACTCGATAGTGGTCACTGTTGTTTAAAAGAATAATCGCTGGATTGCATTTTTGACTTAAATTCAATATTTCCCACAAACAATATTAACTTTATTAAATTTATTAATCTAACCGTTACTCTTGTTAATAAAAAAAAAAAAGACCATACCAAATTTTATAATACAAATTTTTAATGTTATATTATTTTTTATTTAATAATTTTTATTTTACAATTTAATATGAAATCAACGCGCAAACAAGAAGTCTTACCCAACAATGAAGTAATAGGCTTAATCTTTTGGGGCTTTGGTATACGGTGCCTCTTGTATACCCTTCACCATAATTACAACGATTTCAATGTATATGGAAGGTGTCATGATACCAACCGTCAATGCTTGTGATGACATGCTTCGTTTAAAAACTAGAGCAAGTTCCTCTACCTAAATTCAAAAATTTTTTAAAGTGAGTTTTTTAATTTTTAATTGTAAAATTTTTGGTAATTATTTGGGATGAAAAAGAAAAATAATTTTTTAATCTATGTTTTTTAAGTTAATTAATGATATATTTATTGTATATTTTTAGTATTAATTTATATATAAAAAAATGTTGGCCTAACATGAATTTTTACTGTATCTTACTTATAAATAACAAAAATAAGGTTTTATAGACTAAAAATAAGTGTTCCATAAAAATATCTATTAATAATTTTAGAGATAAAATGCTTTAATTGTTAAGTAAATTCTGTTTTTATCAGTTGTTTTTTAAGATTAATTTCTAAGTGGCATGGTTTTGCAAATTTGAATTTAAAAGGGTGGCAAATTTGACTTTACGAGGTCCTAGTTTAGAATTTTAGGACTATTTTGGGATAAGGTTCCTAACCTTCCCTAAGTCTCTTCATATTCTTTTCTGCCTTTCTTAAAGAGGACCCTTATTTGGAATATAATCCCATAATTGTTCCAATACTGTGGTGACGTGATGGGCCCACGGCCCATCATGATTATTTTTTCAGAAAAAGTGACCAAGGAAGAGAAATTAGTCAGCAAACCAGTAAACCGAGCAAAATCTTACTTGCAAATTAGCGAGGGGCGCAGAGGTAGGATGATTTTTATTTTTATTTTTATTTTATAATATCTATATATAGGGACTTTGGCTTGATTAATTTACATATATTTACAAATTATGTTATTTATAAATATTAAGTAAAATTTTATCTCTAAAAGTTAGGTGTGTAACACATTAAAATTATTTAAACTTAAATAGTATTAAAAAATTTTAAATTTATAATTTTTATGTAATTTAAATAATTTTTTAATCACTTAAATCAGCCTTAATTAGTAGGTAGAAGGATATTTGATGGATTTTTTTTTTAAAGGATGGAAGTAACTTTTTAAACTAAATAAAAATTAGTTATTATTTTGAAAAAAACTAGCGCAAGTGGTATAATGCTTCATCCTTAAATCTTACCTCCTCTTTGGCCGGAAGGAAGGAAAGGGAAAAATCAAAACAAAATAAAGAAAAATTCCTCCTTTCTCCTTACCTCCCCTTTAATTTTTTATTATCTAAATAAATAAAAAAGCAATGATATATATATCTTACACAGTTACACACTTCATTATATATTAACAAAAATTGACAATTTTAACTACACAAATAATAAAAATTATTAGTTTTAACGACATAAATAA